ACGTAGAATACAGAGTGATAACGTGAGAATGCATCGCGGTTAGAATGTTAGTTTGGTAAACGACCTTAAAATGCGTAGAACGTTACGTTTTGTTGTAATTAAACATGCAGATATATTGAATATTATTAAAGCATGCAAATTCTGTTAGAGCGTTAGTGATGTTTATCGATTTCTTATTACCTCCATTCGTATTTTTTGCTTTAGAATCGTAATAAGACTAAAGATGCTATCGTTATCGTTTATCTCGAGTTCAATCCTCATTCAATATTTAGGTATTAGGATAGCATGAGTCGACCGCATAGATAATATATCAAACTATATTATAAATAAAATAACTTACATACAACACAGAACTATTAAGTGTATGTTATATTATCATGAACTTCCATTTTTACTAAAAAAAATTGCATCGCGTAAATCGGTAGTAATAAAACCACTACGTATTTTCGTTGCAACTTGGGACCTGAGTCTGCTTAGTGCATTCAAGCATTTCGTAAAAATCACTATAATTGATTTCTAAAAACGTGTTTCAAACGTTGGAGATGGGAAAATCTAACACTACTTTTAGAAGAGGGAGTCTATTACAGTTTAGCTCTTTGGAGGGGAGGGGTCTGTAATTGAATGCATCTATGGGCTCGGTTGGACGGCCGTAAGAACCGGTCCACTTAAAATAATACTATTGACGCAAGGGCACCAGCGTGCCCGCTCGTTTGTTGATCGTCGACGCCTCGTTCTGTGGTTTTTAGTAGAAACACAACGGGTGCGCTCACCATAGAGCGAACGGGGTACGAATAAGGATAAGTATTCACTAAGCAGCGTTCGGCCATAAGGAAGAGATAAGGCAAACGGCGAACCGGAAATATATATTTGATTCTGACGAATATTTAACCGATGTGTTGGAATAAACAAAAAAAAAAATTCGAATTTAAATTAATCAAAACGAAAGTATGTAAATTCTTTGAAATGTCCCGGAAGCGGACGCTTAGCTTTCGATAAAAATAAAAATGAAGACATTTTAAACTTTCATCAAGTTAACCTTTAAGAGCTCGAAAACCTTTAAAGTGAAACTTGACCCCAGTGAGTTTATCACGGCGACTGGTCCAGCTATGTCACAGTAAATAACTCGTTTGCCCACACCCATCCAAAGTACAATGATTAAAATGGTTTCAAAAAATAATTTCGTAGGATAAAAGCAGTAAACAATTTTTACTTTAAACCGTGAACAAATAACTTTTGCTTATAGCATTGACTATTTGAAACTAAGTTGTCTTAATAAATAATTTAGTAAAAGTTATCTAACTGTTGTTGTTAGATGGTATAGGAATAATATTTTTTTTATTTCGTAATGCAATAATTATTCATTAAGACTTTAAGTTGAAGACACAATTAAAGTCCACTTGTTTATGAGATTTTTCACGGTTTTGTTCGAAAGCATTGGATGAAGAAAAAAGATCAGTTATAAGAAATATCTATAATATAGATTGGTTCTTTTTCTCAATTAGAAGAGACCGAACTTTTTTTAATAAAAAGAGCAGAAACCTACTTGCAGTCTGTCCATACATTAAATTTCCATCCTAGGCCATTACAATATGTTTTATACATCCAAGTAAAGAACAAAGATTCCTACCAACGATGATTCTCGGGCTATAGTAATTAAAATATCCAAATTTCAATGAAGTGGAGGTTTGGGTATTACTATTAGCACGGGGTACTATAATTAATAAAATTATAGGATCATAGGAATTATAGCTGCAAAGTATTCGAAACGAAGGGAATTTAAACTATAAATACAACAAATCCTTAGAAATTAACTATAAACGAGATGAATCCTTTAAAAAATCCATTTTAGTAAACATTTTAATCTAAATAATATGTTTAAGCATACACTAAGGATTATTAAATAAACTTTTAACTTAGGGCATCTGCAAAGCTTGGGAGTTGCATGCGCTTTGCAAATCTTTAAAAAGACGAAACGCAAAACTATAGTAGTTTTACTTCAAGCTGGTCTTGTGTGAAACCGGGAAGAAGTACAACTTCTTCAAAAGAACCTGCCTTTTCGTGCAACAAGAGCGGCTGTTGCGTAGCCCAACCACAATAAGAAACATCGGTACTTCGCCTAAATTTGAATGATTGTTATTGGGGAATTTACACCGAAAACGGGACAGGCCCGTGACGATGACTGTTGGAAAGAAAACGTCGGACATTTAAATGCAATAGTTTAATTTAACAATAACAGCGGGAGTTGTGTCAAATTATATATTTCATAATAACTTTGAGGACCGTAAAGTTAGAACACTTGTTACATTATTCCACGGACTCATAATACGTCCACGACAAATTTTGTAATCTTCGTACATTTTCGTACATTAAAGAATTTATTAATCTTCGTACCGCGTCGGCTGTGGAAGTCTTTTGGACCTGTGCCAAAGTTAGCCAACAACGGCTGGGAAAAAATAGACATGTCAAATCTTACATAACTGACGCCGCGTCAACGAAACTCGAACAAGTGTACGTGACAAATTCTATGATCTCTGCCATCAATTTCAATGCATGATTATTGTCCGCAGACTCGATACGAGTGTAAAAACTGAATAATTTATCATAAAGAAAATGAACTGCAGATGAATTATATCATTGGATGTCAGCTTACGAATGCTTGTAAAAAATAGTTGCATGACGAGCCGATGCTGACAATGGTAAATGTGTGTGGGTGTCGGATGTTTGTGAACCAAAATAAACTAACAAAACTACCTACCAACTAGGTAAACATTATGTAGGTGATTTATTTTTGAACTTCAATAAATTAAAATGTCAACATTTTCAATGACAATGTAATAAATTTCCAATATTGTACGTTACTTCAGATTTTACCACTGTATATGTTTCAAATACCAAATGTTATCAAAGGTGTATTACATCAAGTGTTGATAATTAACCTGCTTTCATTTACTATTATTTATGTCAAAAAATCTTCTTCATTGTATTCACTGCCATTTTGCGAAAAAATAAAAAAAAATTAAAATAAGTTATTTACTTACTTTTTTAAAAGTGCGCATGTTTTATGTACATATATTCATAAAACACATGAATGTCTTTGCGACGGGAATAAGGTTACGTGGGATTAAAGCGGGTGGCTAATAATATTAAAATCTTTTTCAATTAACTATCATATCAATAGGTTAATAAAAAATAATAAAGTTCTCCTTCAGGAAGGCTTTTATCAATAAGGAGCAATTCCAAGGTTGTTGCAATGCACATTTTTTTTTAAATATTTAATTTAATTCATCGCGATTCATTTTAATACACCATTAATAATCACGGTGGCTCGATTTCGTTAAGCGATTCTAATATTTTTCTTCTAAATATGTTTTATCTCTGACCAGTATGTATGTGTTCTCTTTTTAATTACCGTTGGCCAGTAATCTAAATGTGAGGCCTTTTTTGACTATCGTTGTTGTGCTTAGAGAGATAAACATCATGCCTGCGCCACTGACCTCCTTGCGGAAGGCCCTCCAGCCACTTATCGAATGGTTTCTTCGCGCAGACGCATCACCCGTGGCCGCGACATTGAACCGCCATACGTGATCGGGCAATGCACTGTCGCAGGCTCTTTGTTTATATTGCGTTTGCGTCCTTCGAAGTTTTAAGCGATGGAATGTACCCATTATTTTGCTTCAGATAGATATGCGCTCTCCGCGCCAAGTGTATGGACAGAAAATATTTTTTTTTACTGTACAATATTCTTATGTAGCTGTGTATGTAGAATTATAATCATACATAGAAATATCTTTCAAAGGATTTTTTAAAGTAGTCCGTAATGTAGGTTATGGAATTTAAAAGTTATTTTTACATTATTAAAATAATGAAATATATAATATTTAATATATAATATTTATAATAGTAATATTGTTTTTTATTGTATGCATTAGATGTATACAATATCCTAAAGCCGGTATAATAAGTCGGTGAGATTATTAAATTACTGTAATTGTACAGCTTCCTATGATAATAAAAAAAATAATCAAACCTAATACGTATGTATATATGAATTTATATAATATTTTGATGAAATAAAGATGAAAAATAAAAACCTATAGCGAACAGACATTTCTCTTATACTTATATATTTTTCCACAGTAGTTAGTATATTCGTTTCGCGTTCGCAAGTTGTTAATGGCATTTCATTGGGGTCGAGTTTGCAAGGTGCGTCAGCGTATCCGTCACAAGTCGCGAACGCCGTTCAGGAAACCTACATAATGCATCACTAATTGACACATGAAGCTGATTCTGCTAGATTCCCTGAAATATGGGTTCTATAGTGACGTAAAGACAGACGCCCGCGCTTTCAGCGGCGCCTGCGCCGGACCCATTTTAGGACATGACTAACGGAAATTCGACTCCTCTCTCTCCGGCCTGCTCACTCCCGTGGGATGCGGCTATCCCCATCTCGCTCGCTCCTAAAGCTCCAAGAAATCTTTTAATAGTGTCCACGGCCGCGATCTACTTTCAACTAGCGGCGGGAAACGTGCAATATCGATTTTGAATTACAGTGAATTCGCGCGGTTTTAATTAAAAAAATTGAAATAAGACTACATAGATGGAATATGTCCTCGCACTTTTTTTCCAGAATTTATGCTTTTTAAAAATTGATACACAGATACATAACTAGATTTATTAATGATTTATAAAACTATTAGATGGCTAATTGTCATATCTATGTAAACTTTCTGATAAAGTCATTAGACAAAATATATATTATTCATTGAAAGAAATATCGTTATACTCGTAAATAAATTTAGAATAAAGGATAAGAATGTTCTTGAATACATAAACTGCGTCCCTCGATCTACCGCAAAACTGTTTAGTAACGTGAGTCACGAAAACGATAAGGTAATATTACCTTTATTTTTATCGCGAATTTGCATGCGTAATTTGTTAAATTTGAAGCCTCGTTCACCTACCCATTATTATGTACTTTGCCACATAGCGATCAAACTGACCTTTTTCTGTTGTTTCTCCCATGCCGGGTCAAGTAAACCCTCACGCTCCCACTCCTCTTCCTGTTCCATGTACCCATCCCCGTACACCCCATCATAGTTATTTGTTATCACCCCGTTGGCCATCATCATGGTCACCGCACTGACCGTCGAATTCGATGTTCGTTCGAGCTTATGACCGCGAACTCGTGTGTGTTAGTTCGCACCGCGCACTGCAACAAGCAGCCGGCCACACGCCCGCTGCAAGAAGACTGGCGCGCAAGCGCTCCCTGTGGCAGTGTGCGGAACTTCCAAACGTCTCCGTTCCGTTATACGTTTCTAACTGTCATACGTCAGAGCGAGAAAACTTAGTTTCTTATCTGTTTTAATTTTATCTTAATAACTTGGCAGTGTACACGGAGAAAACAACTTGAATTTTTTTTCCTACTGTATCTGTGTTTATTCTTACGGTGTTTTTTGTGTTTCCTTTTTATATATTAATGTTTAAGTTTTAATTTCGAGTAAATCTTATTTAAAACATCAGTTCTCTCAAATTATTTTGGACTGTTATATCCAATATAGATTTTTAGTTATCCATAGTTTTATTGGCTACTGGAATTAATATTGACACTATATTAAATAGTTTTTTTCCAATACATATTCATACATAAGGATTCTATCCTTCGATCTATTATTTTCGATCCTTTTTTCATACATAAGGATTGTGCGATTAGAAAATGTCTTAAAATATAATTATATCTTTATGGTATTAAAATTATGCAAATGTAAATTTGTAACAATGTCCGAAGTGTTAGCCTTATATATCCCAAATTAAGTTAAATTAAATTATATTATCTGCAGACTATTTCCAAAACAATACCTATTCATCATCATAATTTCAGACTGTTTTAGCCTGACTGGCACAAAGAACAATCCTGAGCCACCTGCATCCCTCGACTTCCGCGCTAAGCCAATCCGCACGTATGCACTGGTCTTCAATCAAGTAGTGGGAGGGGGGGGGGGGGGAGGAGTTTATTATATATTCTGTTTATTTGTAACACGTTGTGTGTGCGTGCCTGCCGTTGTGTATGCGTTATGCACACGTGTGTACCGGCGTGATTGACCTAGAATGTCCATTTTTCTACAAATTTTAATTTGTCATGATAAGTATAGAGGTTAGGAATATAAAAAAAAAGTTATCTTCTCTTCGGAGCTAAGGTCGAAGCAGTACAACTATCGGAGATAACTACAATTGCTGAAATCCAAGGAGGCAACGACGTTATAGTCTTAATACTAATGATCTTAAATACTTTTTCTTTGTTTAAAAAGTAGAAGTATAATATACCTACTCGTACTTTCACTTCACACAAGTCTTCTATGAGACCATGGTATTTCCCCGAAAGTCTGTCCATTGGCCTAACAGCCAACACTGCCGCGTGGCCAATATTTTACGAATTACTGAAATAATTATTTGATTGTGTTTTTCCGATGATGTGTTTATATCTATCTTGATTTTCCAAGCTACTATGAATGGGACGCCCTACAAAATAATAAAATGAAAAATAGGGATGGAACGGTGGTAAAGCTATGCAGCAGCCGCGGCTGTTATACGAATGGTCACGTTCGTCCGGGTAGTAGAGAGAGAAGTACCACAACCTTACAGAAGACCTTTACGCCGGGTAAAGTGGAAGTATAATACTTTCACGTTTCGTCTGGTGAGTGCGGTGGCCGGAGCCCAATTTTTAAAAGGTTGTCAACGCATCTGAAACCCTCTGGTATAACAGGTGTTCATGGGCGGCGGTATTCAATTAACATCAGGTGAACCGTCTGCTTACTTGGCAACTTTTCAAAACTTTGGAAAATGAAGTAAATCTCACAGAAATTAGTCGATTCATTTCTAGAAAAGAAGTGAGTTTTTTGTTGATCACGCGTTCCAATAATTTTGAGATGGTGTTTAAAAGAGAGATAGATAGGACGGCAGTTACTAGGGACGTCCTTTGGTCCATTTTTATGTATTGGTATGACAGCAGCAACTTTCCAAGCACTTGTAAAGACGCCAGATGCGATGCTTAAATTAAATATAAAAGCGAGAGGCTTAGCAATATGTTTTTGGGCAACCTTTAGTAGTCCATTATTTATAGTATGCCTGGATAGCTATTAGCGTCTACTAAATTAAGCTGACTTAATATCTCTAATTCGTCTGTTGGAGTAATGAAGAAAGAATTTACTGGGGAGTTTTTATTTTAGATTTATCGGCCAGAGATTCCTGGGATTCTTTAAGCCTTAAAAGAATTGAGTTGGTTAAGGATTCGCCTACTGTTGAGAAATAGTCGTTGCATATGTCCAAGGACTCGATTACTGAATCATTAAGGTTAGTAAGAAACTGAGCGGTATGTTTATTATTAGATGTTCTGTGAGATATTTGATTAATGGTATTCCAAAGCCTTCTAGGATTGCTTTTATTTTTGCTAATATGAGTGCGTTTGAAATCGGCTTTGACTTTACTGAGAAGTGCAGTATAATAATTTCTATATCTAGTGTAGATAAGCTTTTTAGTGTCGTCGTTTGGGAATTCTCTAGTTTCATGGTGAAGTTCCTATGTTTAGGAGCCGGAGTTTCCGAATAAGACATCCAGGGTTTAATACAAAATTTTGAATGGCTTATGGAGACTATTTAAGAGTGTTTTAGCATCGCGTTTGAAAAGATTGAGAGAAACTTTGAAACAGCTACTTCAACAGATTTACTATTATGTTACCATCATCATTCATCAGGTATCATTTTTTTCCAATTCAGCTGTGAAACTCTTATAGTCTATTTTCATTCTTGTTCGCTTTGATCGAATTGGATTTGGGGTTTCAGTTTTCAATCCTACCATAACAAGGTGATGGTCAGCGAGATCAGCGGGACACACTACTGTTTCTTTGAGACGAATATGTGGTCAATGCATGTTAGACTATGAGTGGGTTTATTGATCGCCTGAATAAGACCATGCTCAGACAGAAGCTTTAGATAAGAGGATGTGTGCTTATAAGAGAGAGAAGAACCTATGATGTTAATATTTATGTCACCTGTTAGGTTTGATTTTCGGTTTACGGAGTAAAGGTTACGCTACAAAGATTGAATAAATTTTACTGGACTAAAAGAGAGCGAGCGGTAAATTCCTAAAACAATTAGGACATTTGGAATCTCGATTTTTATTCCTCTCGACTCCTCTAGATTTAGTTCAGAAACATTTGGGGACCATTTATAAATTACATAAATTACCACTCCTCCCGACTTATTTATAAATCTTAGCGTACTTTGGTAACCATCAATTTGCTTAATATTGGAGTACTCATTTAACCAACATTCACTGAGAGCCACGACATCGAAAGAGATATTTAATCTCTTCATCAAATTTATCATCAAAATTACGCTGTAAGCTCCGGATGTTAGCATGTAGAATCGTTATAGCGCCAAAGCGATCAAGGTAGACTGCGCGTCTAAACTCTGACGTCTGGTTTCAATATTCCATCTACAGATTAATTTGGTTACTGGAGAAAGAGTTTTGACGTAATTATTATGGAGTAAATGTCAAATACCTTTCGCTAGTAACGAAATCGATAGAGTGAAGATTACATTATCTACAGATATGTAGATAGAATATTGAAACCTACCTTAAGTCGTCCTTCTCCTTAAATTTCTCACCACGTTGCGATGTAATTGATGAAGAATGAAGCGAAAATTGACGATTATAAGTAGATGAAG